GGGCTAGCGCGGGATCGGGCAGTGTTTTGTTCTGCTGTGCATGAGGTCGCTATGAGTCGGAAACGACTCGACGGCACTTAACAACAACAACAACAGTTTTTCTTTTCTTTCTTTTTTTCTTTTTTTAAACCCTAACCCAGTCTCTTCTCTTCCTTCCCTACCCTGCAATCCTCCCCTTGAGCCCCTCATAATTATGCGCTCTTGTTTGTCCTGCATTTCTTCAGTTTGAATGTTGGCCCTCTGGTGTCCCATGATCTATTGCTCTAAGGGATGTATTACCATTGAGTGTGTGGTGCAGCATCCTGGGTGGAGTGGTCTGCTTGTACATCTTGTTAACTATTGGGCTGAGAGCCTGCCCTGGGGGTGAGTTTTATTCCAGGCATAGAATGTATTCCAGGGCCATAGTATTGTGAGTCTCACCAGATTTCATCTGACCAGTAATTCTGGTCATTATTGAGTTTTTGGATTTTGTTCCATGTTTTCCCTCCCACTCTATCCAGGATGTCCAAATTTGATCCTTTCCTGAGTGGTTGGCATTGGTAGCCAGGCACCATCCAGTTCTTCTGGTCTCGAGGGCCATCATGTCCTAGGGCTGATTGCTTCTAAATGCCCTTGTTTTTTTTTGTTTGTTTTCGGTTTGGGTTTTTTTTTTTTTTTTTGCCTTCTTCTTCGCTTCTGACACCAGGAGACCATTAGCTGCATCTTAGATGGCTTCTTGAACACTTTTAAGATGCCCGTCACCACTCACCAATGTAGGATGTGGGGCAAGGCTTTTATGTATTTTGTTGTGCCAGTTGAGTCTGGTGTCCCCCAGTACTATGGTCCTGAGGTGGTAGAGCTATTGGATCTCTCTCCCATAGTGTCTGGATGTCTGTGAGGGATTACTCTGTGTCTTTCTTCCATTGTTTCTGTAAGGATGCAGGTATTTTGTATCACTGGTGTCTGTGCAAGATTAGCCTGAGCTTAATCTATCCTAACTAGGCTTGCTAGTTTTAAGGTTTGATTTTTAACAGCATTGTATAGCTAATCTAATATTTTAGCTAAAAATGACTTAGCTATCAATTTAAATTCACTCTTTTAGAGTTCAGTATTTTGGCAAAAAAGGAATTAGATATGTTATTAAAATAGAACTTCCTTATATTCATCTGGAAGCTTTGGTGGTGTAGTGCATACGGCACTTGACTGCTAACTAGAAGGCTGGTGGGCAGTCTACTTCCATAGTGATACTGCCTCCAAGGAGGGGTCGCTATGAGTCAAGTCCGACTCGATGGCAGTGAATTTGGGTTTTTGGTTTTTTATATTCATTTACTTAATTTAAAACATGTTATTTATTTTATAGTAAGTTTATCTAAACTATACACTAAAGTATGCTGCAAAAGAATATATCAAAATACTTAAATATTTTTATATATTAAGAACACATTCACATTATAGGTTTTATTTATATATTCTGTTTTTCCATATAATTTTCTAATGTTTATATGTTTATTTAAAATATGTTCTCCAAATTAATATATAATCTCTGACGTTGAGACATGATAGCCAAATTTAAGTTTACTGACATGACATATTTCACTTGAAAAGATTTCCTCAGTGACTCAAATGCAGGCCTTGTGGCTTTATTGTGAAAAAGGTAGATAACAATTTTAAGATAGATTATCTTATAGTAGAAGCACACTATTTGAGGTATTGATATCTAGTGCACTTTGATATCCATCACATTTTAACTATGTTTTATTTAAATTTGTATAATATTTAAAATTCCAATTTATTTTTTAAATATATCCATATGTAGATTATATAAATTAGATACTAGTTCCACAAGAATTACTTGGTGGGTAATCATACTAAGCACAGATTTTAATAAAATGAATTTTATCACAGTGTGAAAGAGAACATCACATAGGGACAGATCACTCTTTACCTTATTTTCTTTTGACCTTAAGCACTATATCTGTATATATGTTCTTGGAATCTTACATTTAATTGTTTGTTGTTGTTAGGTGCCTTTGAATCGGCTCCAACTCATAGTGCCCCTATGTACAACAGAATGGAACGTTGCCTGGTCCTGCTCCATCCTCAACAATATTTACTATTCTTGAACCCATCATCACAGCCACTGTTGTCAGTCCATATCACTGAGGGTCTTTCCCTTTTTCACTGACCCTCTACTTTACCAAGCATGATATCCTTCTCCAGGAACTAGACCCGTCTGACAACATGATCAAAGTATATGAGACAAGGTCTGGCCATCCTCACTTTTAAGAAGTATTCCAGCTTATACATCTTCCAAAGCCAATTTGTTCATTCTTTTGGCAGTCCACGGTATTTTCAGTATTCTTCACCAGCATCAAAATTCAGATACATCAGTACTTCTGTTTCCCTTATTCACTGTCCACCTTTTACATGCATATAAAGTGATTGAGAATCCCATGGCTTGCATCAAACATACCTTAGTCTTCAAAGTAACATCTTGGCTCTTTAACATTTGAAAGAGATCTTTGGCAGCATATTTGCTCAGTGCAATCTGATTTCTTGACTGCTGCTTCCATGGGTGTTGATTGTAGATCCAGGTAAAATGAAATCCCTGATAACTTCAGCCTTTTCTCCATTTATTATGATGTTGCTTATTGGTCCAGTTGTAAGGATTTTGGTTCTATGTTGAGGTGTAATTCATGTTGAAGGCTTTAGTCTGATCTTCATCAGTGAGTGCTTCAGGTCGTCTTCTATTTCAGCAAGCGTGGTTGTGTCATCTGCTTATTGCAGGTTGTTAATGAGTCTTCCTCCAATTCTGATGCCACGTTTTTCATATAGTCTAGTTTCTCTGATTAGTTACTCTACATATACGTTGAATAAGATAAGTATGGTGATAGGATACAACCGTCACACACAGCTTTCGTGATTTTAAACCATGTAGTATCTCCTTGTTGTATTCTAATAATATCCTCTTGGCCTATGTACATGTTCCTCATAAGTACAATGAGGTGTTCTGGAATTCCCATTCTTCTCAATGTTATACATAATTGGTTTTGATCCACACAGTCTAATGCTAAATAAAACACAGGTAAACATCTTTCTAATATTCTTTGCTTTCAGCCAAGATCCATCTGACATCAGCAATGATATCCCTTGTTTAATGTCCTCTTCTGAATCGAGCTTGCATTTCTGGAAGTTCCCTGTCAATATACTACTGCAGCTATTTTTGAATTATCTTCAGCAAAATTTTACTTGTATGTGATTATTAATGATATTTTTTTATAATTTTCACATTCTGTTGGATCACCTTTATTTGGAATGGCCACACATCTCTTCCAGTCAGTTGGCCAGGTAGCTGTCTTCCAAATTTCTTGGCATAAACAGGTAAGCACCTCCAGCGCTGCATCCTTTTGTTGAAACATCTCAGTGGGTTTTTTGCCAGTTCCTTTTGTGCAGCTTGGACTTCTTCCTTCAATACCATTGGTTCTTGATCAGATGCTATCTCCTGAAATAGTTGAACATCAACCAATTCTTTCTGGTACAGTGACTCTGTATTCCTTCCATCTTTTGATGTTTCCTGCGTCATCATATTTTGCCCATAGAATTTTTTAATATTGCAGTTCAAGGCTTGAATTTTTTCTTCAGTCTTTCAGCTTGAGAAATGCAGAGCATTTTCCTGCCTTTTGGTTTTCTAATTTCCAGGTCTTTGCACATTTCATTATAATCTTTTACTTTATCTTCTTGAGCCATCCTTTCAAATGTTGTGTTCAGCTCTTTTATTTTATCATCTCTTCCATTCACTTTATCTACTCTCCAGTCAAGAGCAAGTTTCAGAGTCTCTTCTGACAGCCATTTTGGTCTTCCTTTTTTGTCTTTAATGACCTTTTGATAGTTTTTAATAGCTAAAATAGTGTGGCAAATCTAGATACTAAAAAAGTAATTATATCAGATTGACTTCACTGTATATAAAACTAACATTTGTACATTTTGTTTAATTTTTAGAAGAAGAAGAGAAAAATAGAAAATATTCTCCTGAAGAAATTCAGAGAAAGAGACAAGATGCGTTGGTTCGAAGAATGGCCAAAGCACGAGCATCCTCCTTAAATACAGCTCCCACTTAATTTCTCTAATGAAATACTGGTTGAAAGACTTAACAAAGACTGTTTGTAACTATCCATGATAGGAAAAAAAAATTTTTCTTTATTTCTCTGTGAGAAATTTAATGCTGGATTATAAAGCATGGACTTTTATTATTTAATAAATCGGTGTTTGCAATGGTAAATGAAACCTTTCCTTGCAGATGGTATGTGAAAGTATTTGCATGTAGGTTTTGGAAATTCAAGAAAGTTAGTAATTATGTACTAGAATTATATAGAGTGCAGTAATTACATTTTTAAATACTGTGATTGCAGAGATTCTTGAATATTAGGCAATTCACTTAATTTTTTATTTTGGTAAGTCTTTTCCTAATAACAGGCATCAGTGTTCTAAGATATAGGGACTATTTTATGTAGTTTTGCTTTCAGTAACAAGTTTTTTATGCATTTCTGAATTTTAATTAGTACTTCATGTTTCTTCTGGAACATGGTTGATAGGAAATAAAGGCTTTATTTATTTATAAGGAAATTGCTAATTCTGTATTTTAATATTTCCAAATGTGATACACTGGAAAAACTTTGTAACATTTATAGGGAAAATAGTCATTTAAAATGCTAGAAAAAAGGAAATAGTGGATTTTCAGAGCTGGTTGAAATTCCAGAGCTCATTTAGTCCACCTTCATTATTGTATAGGTGAAGAAATGAGTACGGTTAGTCCCAAAGTCACAGGCAAGTTAAAACTGCAAGGAGTAGAATGATTTCTTTGAGCATGTAGATAATTACACCATTTCATTCAGAGTAGGAGTATGTAAAATAGTTTGAGGGAACATTAATTATTTTGTAGTATTAAAAATAATTGTGGACTGTTTAATAATGCTTATTTCTACTTATTTTATATTAAAGAATTAATCTTTCCAGGATATAAAATTGAGAATTTTTCTGTTTCCTGTAACTACACAATTTTTCTCTTTGATTAATTTGCTGACTTACTAATTTTCTTCTCTTATTACTCCCCTCTGCTCCCCTTTGCCTATTTGGAATTTCCTGAGAAAGAAAAGAAATCTAACCAAGGAGCATAAGCAGGAAAGACATTTTATTACTTCCAAATGATTTCTGAAGAAAATTGTATGTGGTGTCTTAGGCTAGGTTCTCTAGAGAAGCAAAACCAGTCAAGCTAATATATATATAGAGAGAGAGAGAGAGAGGGATTTATCTTGGAAGTCCATAGTTGTAGAGGCTGACAAGTCACAAGTTCATATGTCACATGTCAAGCTGGAGCCTTCTGACCCACGAAGCTGCAGGGGCTGAGGAGCCCAAGATCAGCAGGCAGTACAGCAGACTGCTGGATTTGGTGGATGACGAATCCAAGATTGGCAAGTAAAATGGCAGATAGTTGGTTTACAGTTTGCAAAAGCAACAATTCCAACGTTGGCAGGCAATACAGCAGACCACTGGTTCAACTCCAAGAACCAGGGATGATGAGCTAGATGTAGGATCCAGATCCAGCAAAAAATGAGAATATGTTCCCACAACATCCAACATCCATGTATATATGAATCCACATATATAATATATATATATATATATATATATATAGGAAGCAGGCCACACCCCTGAGGAAACTCCCTTTCAACTGAATGCCTGCTCATAGACCATCTTGTCATGGGAGTGATGATATTACATCAGATCTCATCATAGGGGATGACTAAATAACAACAGTTTAAACCACTTAGAATTGGCCAGCCAAGTTAACACAGAACTTTAAATATTACTCTTATCGTGGTGTTTACCACTATGAAGATACATTAGATCTGTGATAATACAGAAGTAATTAAACTCATCTATTGCTGTGTAGGCATATGTACTTTCAGATACACAATGGAGTAATAGATCTAAGTAACCTTTACTGTTTGTCTAAGAGTATTTAACAATATCAATAAATAGAGTTTTTCTTTTATGTAAGAAAATGGGAACAGAATCTTTATCTTTTCCTAAAGTAGATCATTGTATCCTACCTATGTCTCACGTAAGTTCTTCCCTGCTTGAAACTTGGATAGTGTTCCATGGCTTTAGCCTGCTTTGTCCATTCTTTTATACTTGGCTTAGTAAGTCTTCAGTTTCTTTGAAACTCTTACCTGAGCATCTTCCCTGGAATTGACTTATTTTCTCTGATCACAGTGGTGCTTATTCCTTGTATTATTTCTAGGATAATTCTATAATGCATTATATATTGCTCAGTTGTGATGTCTTACAGTGTTTCTAAAACTTGTCATTTGGTGTTTCTCGTTTTGTCATATCCCTGTACAGGAAATTACATAATTTGTTTTCTTAAAAGTGTTCCCCTTTCTCTTTAAAAAAAAAACTATAGCACTTCTGGATGGTGGGTGATGTCACTCAGGACATCTGAACCTGACCATGATTGCTTTTTAGGGTTACTCCTGCTGTTCACACCACTCTCTTTTCCAGTCCTCTGATTCTTCTTCCTTTATCCATTGTTGGAAGCACTTCAGGTTGAGTAGCCCATGAATAAGCATGCAGAGGATTGTCTAGATTGTTTGGTTTGGCTCTTTCCAGTCTTGGGGAAATCTGTCTTCATAGCATGAAATGACAACTAGTAGGCCTGGTTGTTCTCCATCTTGAGCTCTAGCTCCATTGCTTTTTCTGCATCTCAGGTTAACCTTAGAAAGACTGATGCCAATAATACCACTGCAGAGAGAAGCCTATGGCAGAATAGATTATACTTCTTGTTACCCTTTTGCTGATGATAGTCAGTCCTAATCCCAGGAAGATGTGGATTGCTTATTACAAATATAATCAGTGGTGTGCAGATGCATACCACATCTTGGTAACCGCTGCTTTATAACACACACAACCCTATTATCACTAGGTTTTTAAGTTCTGCTTTAGGCTGAGTTCTCTACAGAAGCAAAACCAATGAAGCTGTGTGTGTGTTTGTGTGCATGTGTAATCTCAAGGAAATAGCTCACAGTTGTACAGTCTGGAATGTTGCAAGTCTGTGGGGTCTGATGATAAGCTGGAAGCTTCTGACTCATGTGGTTGCAGGGGTTGATGAGCCCAAGATCAACAGGTCAGATGGCAGGCTGCTGACTCATGGACTGCAGAGGTTGACAAATCCAAAATCAGCAGGTAATATGGCAGGCCACTGGCTCAAGTCCCAAGAAACAGGTCGGATGATGACTAGCCAGATGCAAGATGCAGGATGCAGAGTGAGCAAAAAGCCAAGGAGCTTTGCCAGAATGTCGATATATATTGGATGCAAGTCACAACCTCGAGGAAACTCTCAACTAATTGGCTGCTGATAGCAAATCTTATCATGGAGGTGATTACATTATATCATCTCATAATGGAGGTGATGAGATAACTGCAAAACTACATTATAACTACCAAATTACAGGTAATGATGGCCCAGCCAAGTGTTAACACACCTTAATCATCGCAGTCCACCCCTTACCAGTTTAGGAACTACAAATCTTAAACCATACATAACCTTAAAAAAGACAATTACAAAGTCATACTTGCACCTAACATGATACAACTAACATATGTACAACTGAAAGCACATTAACCACAATTACAAGTGACCAAAAACCAAACTCACTGCCAGCGAGTCAATTCAGACTCAGCAACTCCCATTGGGTGTCCAAGGCTGTATGTAAATCTTTACAGAAGTCGATTGCCTCATCTTCCTCCCATGGAGCAGTTGGTGAGTTTGAACCACCAACCTGGTTAACAGCCAAATATCTTACCCACTATACCACCAGAAACAAAAATACTTGATGCGTATATACAAGGAAGAACTACTCATAGCAATTATAGTCATTTCTGCAACTGGTCACATAGTCATAGCTGTTGTTTAGACCTACCTTCTCCATCACCCATTCCATGTTCCCTTTGCCCTCAGCAAACACCTTACTTGGTCGTGGTTCTTTTCCTGGTGGACTGACTCAAACCTTCATTCCTATAGGATCATTCCTATCTAATCATGTCAGGGTTGCTGTAGTTTTGTATTGACTTTAATTGTGGAATGGAGGTACTAAGAAATGTCCTAAAGAATCTCCTGTATTTCAGACATACTCTTCTTTGCCTCTATTATGTAATATCAATCCTATTTCCCCTTAGTAATCAAGATTAATCACACGAGCCAATACAGTCACTCCTGTTTTTGCCTTTTGATCCAGAAGCATGAGGAACCCAAAGTGGCCAAGTAGCATTCTTAACTTCCAGTTCAATGGAATCATTGAGTCTCTAGTTGGGAGTATTTTTCTCTTTGGAACTAAGACCTTTAGACCTAAAGAGCATAATAACATCACAGTGACAGGAATGAAAAATTTTGTGAGGGGTAGTTGTGCCACTCCCATTTCCATCCCTTGGTTCTGGCCCATGAATCTTGGTTATTGGAGAAGGTGTTTTATATTGATGCTGGTTTAGAGCATATACAGCCTAGTGCAGAACGTTGCCCCAACACTGGGAGGTGTTACCACCTATGTGGCAATATAATTGTGTTTTTAGGAGGTCATTCCATCTTACTATCAAGCCAGCTGCTTCAGGATGATGGGGAACATAAGTCCAGTGAAGTCCATGATCATGGACCCATTGCTGCACTTCATTTGCTGTGAAGTGCATCCCTTTATCCGAGGCAATGCTGGTGGATATGGTATTGTCTAAGTCCACAGGTGATAGTTTTGGCAGAAGCACTGTATGCAAGGAAGGCAAATCAGTATCCAGAGTAAGTATCTATTCCAGTAACAACAAAATGCCGTCCTTCCATGATGGAAGTTGTTGTTGTAATGTGCCATCGAGTTGGACCTGACTCATAGTGACCCCTCCTTGGGTTTCTGAGGCGGTATCACTGTGGAACTAAATTGCCCAACCTTCCTTCCAAGGAGTGTCTGGTAAGTTTGAACCACCAGCCTTTTACTTAGCAGTCAAGTGCCTTAGGTACTTTGCTACCAGAGCTCCTATGATGGAAGTAGTCCAATATAATTGACTTGCTACCAGGTTG